GCAGATGAGATCATGTAATGAGAAGCGCGTAGCCCAGCGCCTGGCCCAGCACATTCCGTGACCGATGTCGGTGGGCAGCAGAGCAGCCAGACATTTGAGCCCTGAGTGACACAAAGTTGTTACAAAACACCAGGGAGGAGCAGCTCTGCTCCCTACACAGGGGACGGAAAGTGCAGGACCAGAGCCAAAGCAAACAGCAGCCTGTCACACCCACCTGAGTCCCGGTGCCCTGGGAGACCCCACCCGGAGCCAGGTGGACGCAGGGCCAGCCTTGGCTATGGGGCAGGTATTCTGCCTGGAGGAAGCCGGGGCAGCAGGGAGGGGCCTGGTGGGGGCCGGGCAGTGGCTGAGGGCACCGGAGCCCAGAGAGGCACATCTGAGCAGGCCTGGAAGGCGGGCCCACCATCTGGGCCGGGATGGGAGGCACATCCAGAGCCAGGACTGGGAGAGACACATGGATGGGACATCAGGACAGGTTCAGGGAGTCCTAAGGCAGGCGGCTCAGAGAATGTTCTAGAGTAAGTTCCTGCCCTAGACCCAGTAGGCTAAGCTGCCGCAGAGGTAGGGAGCCATGGTGGACTTGTGTGTGTGGTGGCGGAACAGAGCGGGGTGGGAGGGATGAGTAAAGCAAGACTTTCAGACTCTTCCCTTCTCCCTGGAGGCGGGGCGGGTGTGCTGGGTGAGGAGGTGAGGCAGGGCCCTGCTGGCGACTGGGGACTCGGCTCCCGCACAACCTCCCACCTAGAGTGGCCGCTGCAACCACACAGGTGACCAGGCCTGCACAGGTGGGTGTCTCCCTGGGCCCTGGGGGCGGGTTTGATCGGCCCTGCTGCTTGACTTTTCTGAGAATTTCCTGTCTCTCCTGGCGTCAGCTCAGATGGTCTGGTCTAATGAGACACGAGTGGCAGCAAGTTGTAAAAACACGTCTGACCCTCCCACGCGGTGCCTTCTACAGGGCGGTCCAAAATACCCGCTGTGCTTGCCTGTGGTGCCTGAGCTGACCGCCACACAGTGTGGCTACAGCCCGCTGCTGGTGCTGACCCTTCCGCCCTGCCTGGCCATGCGCCGCGAGGGTGGCGGAGCCTGACCGCGGTGTCCTGGCCTGAATGTGTTCGGTCGGCGGCTAAATGACTGGCTGAGCTCAGAGAACGCGGCTCTCACTGCTCAAAGCAGCCACACAAACACTGAACACTTACTCGTGTTAACTGGCAACAGGTTTGGTGAACATTTCTGAGATAGTAGTTATTCCAGGAACTTACCCTACCTCATTTACTTCTGTGGACCTATGCTAAATCTCAACAAATAATACTAACCACCAGGCAGTGTTAAATAATTTGTAAAACATGCTTATAATAGAAAACTTCTCCGAGATTAACAATGGTGACAGCGATTTATATCGATCGACATGCGGAGATGTCTAGCGTGTCTGCAGGGTGGGCCAGAGGAGGGGCACCGTCGCTCACCTGAAGATGGCACACGCACTAATAGATACAATAAAAGAACAAACTCAGTCTCTCAGATCACAACTGTAAACCTATTTTTGCCCCACGCTGTATATGGAAATAAATAGGTTTCCGAAGAGCATTTAGTTGCGCTCATCTTTGTAAGAAAACATCGCAGGTGTGTGTGTGCTCACACACAGAAGCATGTTCATCCTGGCGGTGGCTTGGTTGGTTGAGCACCAAGGAGTCTCAGGTTCGATTCCCGGTCAGGGCACATGCCTGGGCTGCGGGCTATATCCCCGGGAGGGGGCGTGCGGGAGGCAGCCGGTCAATGTTTCGCTATCAAATCGATGTTTCTCTCTCTCCTTCTCCCTTCCCTTCTCTCTAAATATACATTTTAAGAAAACTATTCTTAGAAAAAATAGAAGTGTTGTAGTGTCAAGTGTCTTGTGACGTGGTGACTAGCAATCTCTGTTTTCTTCTTGATACTTTCTACTGCGTGAAGTTTGTAAGATACGTAAGCTTTCTTGTAATGAGCAAAATTAAGCCCTTTTGGTGAGTAGTGTGTTTGCCCCTTAAGTTGTATTTAAACATGACCAGAGGTGGAAGGCCTTCGGCTTCTCCATAGGTAGTTGTTTACAAGGCACAAGAATGGTGAAGACAAGCAGCTCTCTGTAGTTACAGGAAGACAGTCCTTACAGGATGAGCGTGGCTGCCGTGAGCACCGGGCCTGCAACGCTGGGAGCCCCCGGTGGCCCGTGGCTCCTGAGGTGACCCTTCAAGGTTTCACTTGGTGCCGAGGACACTGACGCTGAGGTCCCGGGTGGGGCAGAGCTGGCCTGGGTCCCCGCTAGGAAGGCCCGTGCCCCCCTCAGCCCCTGACCCCATCCCGTCAGGTAGGAGGGCTCATGGCCTGCGCTCAGAAGCCAGAGGCACCTCCCGATGTTGAGCTGTCAGCCAGGGGCGGCCCTGCAGGCTGAGCCAGGCCGAGGAGACCTGCCTGCAGACTGCAGCTCCTGGCGCAGGGTACCTGTTTCTCAGCTCTGTGCTGGCGCCGCGCTCACACTGGTCACCTCGCTGATGCTACCTCCTTCCCCCACAGCTGGCCGCCTTCCGCAGGCTCCTGTGCACCCCCGAGGGCCACGCGGCTG